GACTCCTTCCTGTTCTGTATCCCCTGTCTAAGGCATCTTCTGCTTTAGCTTGATTCCAATGAGATTATGATATCACTGGTGTAGTTTCGTCCCCTTCAAGGTGCTATAGATTCATTATTACAGTTCGCGTAGACTGCCAGCTGATTCGGTGAAGATAGAGACGATGCGGGCGTCTGGTCCTGGTGGACAAAACGTGAATAAAAGGTCGACAGCAGTCCGCCTCACCCATTTGGACACAGGCATAGCCGTACATTGCATGGAGGAACGTTTCCAGCATCTCAATATTCAGGTTTGGTAGTTACCTTTGTTCGATCGCTGTTTCCAAGTGCAACCTTCATTCTGCAGATTGCCTACAAACGACTTGCTGCGATTTTGATGCAGCAGAAAGTGGATGAAGTCAGTGAAAAGTTCACATCTGATCGGAAACTACAGGTGCGTTTCAATCATTTCAACCTGCTAAGAGTCGTAAGATAGATGTTAGACGTTCCAGTTGGATTTCATAAATCAGAGCTAGGTATTGGGAAAAATTGACGCACGGTCACTTGTTTTTCCTTGTCGTTGTCCTTGGTGACGGCATTCTCACAGTTTGGAGGATCGCATTCCGTAGCCAGATAACCCAGATAAGGAGTCAGCGCAGCAGACGGTTTCGGCGATTTCAGAGCGAAGATGTCAACCTAGCGAACGAAGAGAATCCTGCATGTCCCCAGGTGACCTGCGCCATATGCAGAAAGCGAGACTTGGTAGTACTGTACAGGGAGACAAAGGAGAAGAACGCTGCTCATGTCAATACTACAGTCACTCTGCAAGGATAACGTCCTTTATTCTTTCTAAAATATTTATCAAAGCAGACTGTTCACTTACCTCTGCGGATCCTTCTCCTCACTATGTATGTGGTGGCTTGGTACACAGCTACTGGCACGAGCCACTTTCTCCAGCCAAAAATGCACGGGAAAAGGGCTCGAGGGCAGAGATGCTGGGTTGCCATCTCCGTACCGCGCTGCCGCACAGTCAGTTACTCCGTCAGTTACGCGTAACCATAGCGGACGCGCTACTTGTTTGTCTGTTTCACTTTCCATTGTTTTCTACAACTGGAGGTGTGATTCGCTGCTGGACCTTAATACAGACGCAAATGCTGTACCCTGAGGATAGCATGGGCGAAGTATGGATACAGAACTTAGGTGTTACTACTATACAGCCTCGTCTGCGCACACTTTTGTGCGGAGAAAGGGGTACGCTATTGCAATTGCGGAACCATTCACCTCGCACATGAAGAGGACCGTTCTCGGAGGTGAGTACAATTTGCCTTTGAAAACCAGTGTGGGGAGACTCAAGGTGATCGGCCTAAAAGCGTCCATAATTTTTCTTGGGTTGTCGTTTCAGCAGTGGAAGCAGCAGCTGTTGAAACCGCTTTCAGAAAGTTGATGTCGAAATGACACCGAAATAATTGTATGTCAAAAATTCTGCAAAGAGAGATAGGTTCTCCCGTGCTGCTCCTGGGACGCCAGGGGGATGCTGCCCTGTAAGAACACACGATCACCGCTACCTGTCGCTCAGCTCCTGAAAGCGTTGGAAGTTGTTGGAGAAAAATGACCGAAACTAGCTTCGGAGCACCTCGTTCATAGTACGCGAGACCCCATACCTGCTATGTAGACCTACCAAATAATTGAGGAGCGAGGTTGGGAGGCCAGTCCCCGCTCATCATACTCTCCTGACGTAGTCCCCTACAACTCTTACCTGCCCCTCCTTCTTAAAGACAGCTCCCGCGATAAAAGTGTCAAGGATAATTGCTGATCAATTATGAAACAGTAGCTGATAAGTAATTCCTCAATGAAGGAAAAAAGCAACAAGAGCCCTCAAGAACACCATAAACAAAATCGCGCCCTGACAGTCACACCTCCCTGCGGTCTACAGAGGAAAACTCTTGAAAAGAAAAGGAAACATTAAAAAGCCGGCGTCCGAACTTAGGTTACGGTAGCGAGCATGTTTTAGTGTAGTGAAGTGCGTCGAGCTTTTGCACCACAGAAATTGCATCATTCGTAATTTTTACGCGTTTTACCTTACGAGATGAGTTACTGTTGACTGTACGTGCTCCCAATGAATAAAATGTGATGAAGGAGAGCAATTATTTACGAGCGCGAGCGCGGTCATCAAAAAAATACATGCAGTTCCGATTAATAACTGCTGTCTCAACAAGGAACAA